TCCTAGCAACGAGGAACACCTCTTAAGAATCCTTTGATTATCTGGCCATACTTGAAAGGCTTTTCTCCTCAGTGGATACCTTCCTTATTATGAACAAGGCTACTGCTCGTCAGTGTCCAACCTGGTCACGTGTTGTGCTGTGTCTAGAAAAGCAGACTTTGTAGCGAAGAGGACAGGTGGGTGCCAATAAGTCCATCCCTAAGCTGTCCTTAGAGACAAAGTTTGTCTCAGGCCACTCTCAAAGCGTTATGAGAACTTTCTGCAGACTTGTTTTGCCTGTGAGTTTGATTCAGCAGCAATCTCTTGACACCCTCCATCTGCTTGGAACTGCAAATTCAGCAGAACGTGGCTGGATAAGGCCTAACTGTGAGGCTGGGGGGCCCTGAGCCACAAGAGGCATAAGTAACTCTCAACCGACCATTCCCAGACTCAGTATGAACCTCAGTCCATGACTTCTGGGGCCCAACCTCTGCTTCTTACATGTATTTATGCTGTGTGGCCCAAACTTGTGCACTTACCTTTCTCAATAGCATCAACTCACCAATGACAATTTAGAATTATAGTGGCCACTACAAGGAGTTTTTGACAGAAGAAAGCTATTTACTTGAGAAGTGACTAGAACGAAAAGAGAACACAATTTCTAAATTCCAATGATCTTTATTTTTTTTATTAGGTAAGAAAGCATCCAAAAGAAATTGGATTTCAAAATTATTTCCTTAACAGATTCCTCAGCCAAAGCAAAACCAAAAAACAAAAAACCAAATATGAACATGAAACTACCTGTCCTGTGCACCCCATAAATCATAGCTCAAACCTGCTATCGTCTTCCCTGCCCTGTTACAGGGGACATCTGGCCAGACCACTGGGCAGAGGGGAGGGAACCTCAAAGTGAATCGGGAAGTACTGGAGTCCACAGGACTGAAATCGCAGCTGGCACATGATAGATTTCCATACCCCCGGGTAAGGGTGAAGAAACTAGAGCAGCTTGTGATACAGCAGGAGGAAGCTTGCACAGAGCAGGTGCAGGCTGGAATGGTCACAACACCTGTGTAGGGTGGAGATTAACATGGTAACAAAAGGAGGGGCAGAAACGCTGCGCAAGCTGATGAGCATGATGGATGCTAGCCTGGAGCGGCTGAGAATTTAGATGCTGCTGCAGTGCGTGGGATTTGGGGCCCAGCCTTTCAAATGGAGGGCACCCGGAGGCTTGCCCTTCTGCTTCCCCTCGCTCACCCAGTTGGGTCCCAAGCATTCCCAGGCCAGTGGGCCCCAGAGACTGCGTGGTCTGGCCTGGCAGCATCCTGGGTGACTGGCACTGTGCTGCATGATCCAGCTCTGCCAGGCACATGGACGCACTGGCCGGCCTATGGCCAGAGGGGCGGGGCAGGTGCTAGGTCAGTAGGCAGCGCGGGGAAGAAAGGGCAGTGTGCAGTGGATAGGTCGCCAGCACTGCACAGACTCCAAAAGGCGCCTGAAGCCAGACTGTGACTGGGAGCCAGCTAAAATGCCTGGATGATTATGATGCAGCCGCCTGCATTTCCCAAGGACAGTATTTTTAATTGGGAGAAGGAACTCAGGGCACAACCTAGGACTGGTCTGGGCTGGCAAAGGGTGGCAAGGTTGTTTTTCTTTGGGGTTTTCAAGGGAATGGGCTCTAAGGCAGAAACCTGCCACTCTGTTAAAATTATGTAGCTTCTGAATAAATGACCCCTTCCCTTCATCACCAAACCTCTGCCTCAGAGGTCTGCCTATTGGGTGGTGGACAATAGAACACCAAGTGCTTTTTGGTAATAATCCTATGCTGCCCTTCCCTGCTGCCCCATCTCTCCCTTTGACCTACTCTCCTCTCCTGGCCAGCCAGATACACCAAATTTCACTTACATCTTTAAGGTAAACTTCCTTCCACACAGAGAAAACCTCCGGTGGTAATTCTTAAGTTCTGATTTCATTCTTAGCTGAAAGTCATTATCAAAGACTCTTTAAGGCCTAGAAAAGACAGAGAACATCACAGAGGAATTTAGGATAGTTTGAGGGACATATAGTCTAGAGCATCCAGATATATACCAAATTGGTCCATATGTTAAGTAGGAATGTCAGATGCAAAAAGATCAATGAAAAAGTCAGAACTGGAAAACCTCCACTGGTGACTTAAAAACCTCGAAGTGCACTGGCAGCTGAAGAAGTTTAGAAGAGCTGCAAGTGTTGGTCAAGCTCTTTGAGAAAGTGTCCTTTTTCTTTCCTGTGAAGATAGATTGTGGCCTGATTCAGCTGTTTGAACCAACAAGGGAAAAATCTGATGGAGACTTCAGGAAAAGGTTCTTGAATACCTAGGGGCAACATTCAGGAATAAATCCTGAAGCAGACATGACCTTGGCTCTCCCTCTTATCTTTTTGTGAATGGTCTTATACCAGAAATAGGGAATGTATTATGCAAGCAAAAAGCAGAATGGGAAATAGCGCTATGGTCAATCTCCAAAACCTTGAAACAGCTCTATATGGAAAGAGCTCTAGAACTAAGAAAAGAAAGAAGAAAAAAGTTATCAATGAAGGTGTTCAATTTCCCATTCTACTCTGAAACCTGCAAGGAAACATTTCTCTAAAAATTAAAGGACAAGTTTACAACTTTTTGACTGATATGGGACAATAATACTAATCTTCAACTCAAGAGCTATTATACAGCCTGTTCCTTGGAGTCAACAAACTACTCTGGTGATGCCCATGCATCTGTCTAATAATCCTCACCACACCTTCTTCTAGCACCCCCACCCCTTGCCTTAACTGTCAGCCTTGAACCTTTAACCCAAGAAAGTTTTCTCCGTTGTGACACTGCACTCATTAATTTAATAGCAAGGGATTTACTGTGTGAATGCTCTCCTGATGGCTTCTTCCTTCCAGTCCCAGAAGACCTCCCTATTCCTAATGAGGTCCTGGCTAATTTGGATATTGATTTACCAGTACTTTTGTGTGCAGCTCAAGCACAGATTGAAGCTGTTTGTGGGCAAACAATTCTACTGATATTATACCAGACTGAACCCATCAATGCTGGTCACTCCAGGACTGGGGTCTTGTCTCTGCGGGAAAAGAGCCCAGAAGGCACGTGTCCCACAGTACTGAGGAGCAGCTTGTCATAAGTTTTCTTCGTAATACTTGGCAGGGCTTCCCCTGCCAGGGCGTGTTCCACCCCACCACAACCCACAAATATTGGAACCCTGGGAAAAAACAAGCAGCCATTCCCCTCCAGTGAGTTCCCCAGAGACCTGCAACCTGGGGGCAGGGCTGGCAAAGGACTGGAGAAAAGAGGGAGGAGGGGAGGCTTTCCTTTTTCCTAAAAGATTGCCCCTGCTCATCAGCTCTGCTTCTCTTTGCCTGCCCTGGGGCTGACTGTGGAGAATTCCAGACCAGGGGTAAATCATAGGGTGCTCTCAGGTCACTCTCATCTTAAGGACATGCACAAATCACTCTCCTCGCAAAATGCGGTTCTGGTAACCAACCAAAAGCCAGGTAAAGGAGTTGACCAGAGTAGGCAAGGCAGAATGTATTGAGTAAGTTCTAACTGCCAGAGGTGTCCTAATTTTCCTTCACCTGTTTCCTGGCTCTAAGAGTTCAGAACAGATCCCAGGCGCTCAGAGCAGCCTCCAAGGTGAGGAAATCTTGCCTGCCAATCAAGGAGTGGAGCTGTATTTGCAACCTGGAGAGGAGGGTATCCCCGGGGAAATTGGGGTGGGGGTGAGGACAGGGTAGGGCAGGAAGACTGCCTTAAATAAATAACCCCGGGTGAGTGCAAAGGGCCCAGTGGGACGAAGGGCCAGGAGCCTGGGCACGGCTTGACAAAAAGCGCCCCCCCGCCCCCCCCCCTCCGCTACACTGGTTTAGAAGCGCCAAGCAGTCAGTCTCCTAACACTGAGAGGTCAAATTCACTCCCAAGGTCACGTGACTGTCAGTGGTAAAGACCCACGTGGAGGTGTCTGAGGAGTCTACGCTTAAAAGCTTGCCCTGACTCCCATTTTGGGGGGTCTTTACTTAAACACAGGGTTCTGTTTGTTTGCTTGCTTGCTTTTTGTTTTGGTCTTGCTGTGATTTCTTGCGAGAAGGCCTCAATTTCTACATGGAACTGTAAACCGAGGTCATTCCAGAGGCGGGACCACCATAACCTGTACCAAGCACAGGGTGTTCGTCTGCCCCCTGCCTTCAGGCCACTAAATAATCCTTAAACTTCTTAGTACACTACAGCATCGGGCTAAGTAAACCCTGCCAAAAGCTCAGTATAGCTTTGATTGCAGTCTTTAGACACCAGAATTAAGAAATAAATACCAAGTTGGATTATCAGCTTAAAACCTTTAAGAAACCCAGGGAAACTGGATTCTGCAGAGGACATGCCAGCCAGTTATTATGGGGGAGTCAAGCTGGAAAGAGGAACCCTGCTGTTAAAAAAAAAAAGGTTAAGAAAAAATCTGTTGTAGCGGAAGCATCCAGAGTTGAAGGACTCGAAACCCGCCAGTTTTCTCTCGTTTAGGCCGGGGGTGGCGCGCAAGGCCAGCGCGTTCCCAGCAGGGAGCCGGCCCGGTCACGGACGGCGGCAGCGGGTTCCCCGGAAGGCTCGTTCTGAGTTGGGGACTCCGGACCGGCGGGCCTCTCCCTGGATTTGTGACGTGCCGAGGGCAGCAGTGGTGACGGGGTCACCACACAAAGCCGGGACGTTGGGGCGGAGGCCTCCCAGGCTAAGAGCCCCAGTGGGATGGGAAGGGGGCGGGGAGCAAGGCGCCCCTGGGCGCCGGGGCTCCCGGCAGCATTAAAGTGAACGCCGAGTCCGCAGCGTGTGCAGCGAGGGGCTGGCGCCTGGGCGGGCGCCTACGCTCATCCCGCGCCTGGCTGCTGTGGCCACGGTGGCCGCCGGCGCGCCCAGCTCGCCGAAGCCGTGCCACGCCCCCGCGGGGGTGGAGCAGAGGCCAGGGGCGGGTCCGCAGCTGGCGGCGCCCCGGCTCGGGGCGGGGGTTGTGGCAGCAGCTGCAGCAGCGGCGGCGGCAGCAGCGTCAGGAGCTGTTGCAGCAGAGGCGGAGGCTACTCCTGGACGCGTCCCGGCCGCGCAGCCGGAGCCCCAGCCCGGAGGCGCCGGGCGGTGCACTAAGTGCTGCTGCTGCCCGCCCGCCGCCGCCTGGGGTCCCGCTGCCACCAGGGCCCTTGCTGTCGTCCGCTCCCCAATCGACCCCTCCCGCGTGTGCGCCCCAGCCCGGACGCCGCCCCCGGCCGGGTCTCCCCTTCTTGGCCGCACCTCCCATGACAGCACCCGCTCGAAGATGGCTGCGAAGGGCGCGCACAGCTCCCACCTGAAGATAGAGAGCGAGCTGGAGCGCTGCCGCGCCGAGGGCCACTGGTACCGCATGCCCGAGCTGGTCCGGCAGATGCAGGCTATTGTCGTGCCCAGTGGAGGAGGCCACCGGCGAGCCATTCCGGGCACCTTGTTCACCTCTCTGGACACCGGTGAGTGAGAGAAGGGACTGGTTCACCAACTGGAGCGCGCGAAAAGCGCCGCCTCCTCCAGGAAGCGCGCCGCGACTGCCCCCCAGCCCGCCACGGCCGTCTTCGGTATTACTCTTCCTGTAGTGCTGGTCTTAGTAGTGCCAGGTCAGTTAGAAAGGCTCTTCTGGCCCAGGAGAAAAATCATGCAGGGTGGGTGTTTGGGGGGAGAGAGATAAACGTCTTCTACTCTGTGCCCTTTAGGATCTTGTGGACAACTCCGTCTACTGTGAAATGGTAGTATCAGCATGTGCCAGATTAGGGTTTTGGCTGAACTCTTGCACCGCCCCTCCACTATCCCCAGTCCCCGCCCAGGTCTTTAAACTACCTCAGGTGAAGGCTGTGTGTCTGTCCTTACCTTGCATTTCCTTCCCCCAAGTCAAGTTGACAGCGGAGCTCTGTCCTTAACTGGCCCAGTTGGAATGGTTGATAAGCACCAGGGTGGGGTGGTGAAGAGTGAAAAACACTGGTAGGCCTCAGTTTCCCCATTTGTGGCCAAACTGGGGACCCTTCTAGCTTTGGTAGCCCGAGGCTTAAGCAGTAGGGCTGGTTTGGCTAGGCTGGACTCTCAATCTGCACTGAGGTGGGACAGCACCCAGATGCGGCAGAGGGGGAAGCCCTGCCCAGGTCTCCAACCTCAAATCCTGTCCCTGGTGCCTTCAGCTCCACCCGGAGAGCCCTCCCTGAGCCCTAGCTTTGAGCACTTCAGAGTGCTGTGGAAGGGGGTAAATAAACAGAGATAGAGAGTTTTGAAGGCTGCCTTGGAAGGCTCTGTGGGGAAAAAGGAATGAAAATAATGGGGATAGTAATAGCCAACACTTATCTAGTACTCACTGTGTGCCAGGCACTGTCTTAAGCACTTTAATCGCTTCATTAATTCCTCCCAACAATCCCGTGAAGCAGATACTGTTGTTCGCTCCACTTACAGATAAGGGCACTGAGGCACAGAGAAGTTAAGTGACTTGTTCATCCAGCTGATAAGTGGTAGAATCAGGATTTGAACCCAGGCTTCTCAGTACATCCTTTTAACCACTTGCACTCCTACCTCAAAGGTGTGTAGCACACAATTCCAGCGTGAAGAGTTGCCAAGGTAGATGGGGAGGCAGGGAGGTGATCAGAGGGCAATTGTGTGTTAGACTGTGGAGCTCAGAGGAAGGGGAGAGGGTTTCAGGAAGTAGCAGAATGTGTGCTGACCTCTGACTGGTGCTGGGAAGAGCAGAGTATGTCTGCCCAGTGAGGAGGAAGGGTAGAAGGACACTGAGAGGGCCTAGGTGGCAGAGGTGCACAGTCGGGTTGAACCTTTGAGGTAGGTCTGAGCATGACAGTGAGGGACAGTAGCCAGAGCTGGTACGTGCATGGGAGAAGCTGGTGAGCGCCTCTTCTCAGGGAAGAGTAGATAAACTGCAAGTGTCCTTCTCTCTCCTACATGGGGTGATGCGCTGGGGTGAGTCTGGTAAGGGTGGGAATGGAAAGTGACCCACACAGGGGGCAGTGGAGCCTGGGACAGGTGTGGGAATGTGAGTGAGGTCGGCACTACAGAGAAACACCCTGGGGCCAAGACAGGAACTGGGACTCCTCAAGTCCATGCAATATTTCCCAAGTTCTTTTTCAGAGGCTCAAGGGACACTGACTAGTTAATTCACTGGTACCCCAGGAAGAAAGGGTTTAGAGAGCCACACTAGTTAAGAAATTGGACCTAATGGATTAAATATCAATAATGGACTTTTTTAAACTGCAGAACTTCTCAGGGCCTTTAATAAGCTCACCTGCCTGTGATGTGCAAGCCAAGGAAAGAGTATAAATACCAAATTTCCCAAACTTGCTATATTCTTTGAAGCATTGTTGGGCAAAAACGCTATGGCCTCGTTTCTAAAGTGCTTTCTCTCTGTATTTTTAAATTTTTGTAAACAAGCTTGTGGGAAGGGCAGAAATTATTGTTCCCATTTAAACACAGGGACACCAAGACTCAGAAAAGTCACATGTGTGTACGTGGCAGAGCCTCTACCCAAGCCTGAGTCCCTGCGACCAAGTCTGCCAGTAACAGAGTGGGGCGCGCGGAGCCAGGCTTGGCTTTGCTTCGCTGTGGGGACTCACCAGCACAAGGGAGACTGAAGGATGGTGGGAGGGTCTCTTCTGCTAGCTTTTGGGTTTGGTTCTGTGACTGACTTTCTACCCTCTGTTAAACCCGCATACACTATCCCAAAATGCATGCACGCATGCACACGAGGAAAACAAGTGACTCCCAAAGCCCGTGTGTGGGGTATTTTGGTTCTCTCTCTGTGGGGCTCTTTTTTTTTTTTTAATTTATTTTAAAAAGAGGAAGAGAGAAAGAGAGAGAAACATCAATTGGTTGTTTCACTTACTTATGCATTCACTGGTTGTTTCTTGTATGTGTCCTCATTGGGGATCGAACCCATAACCTTGGCCTATCAGGATGACTCTCTAATCAACTGAGCTACCCAGCCAGGGCTCTCCACAGAGTTCTTATCACTGTAGGGACTGAGAGGCTATTTTCTGGGATGGGGAGGGGTGTTTGTGTAGATGCCCCTGCAACCCAGGAGGGAGATTCTTACAGCCCCACACCCAGCCTGTTAGACCCCTACAGTCAGTGACTGGGAGCTTCAACAGTTATATAATTTGGGAAATTATGGGGGGAAGGTATGAGAGGGACCCAAACCCCAGCTGAACCCCATTTTATAGGCAGAGGCCCTGCTGTATCTGTGGGGTTTCCTTCTGAAACCCAAAATCCCAGAACGTGGATTTCACTGTAGGGAGTCGGAGGGGAAGGCCCCACTGGGGGTGCCTCTTTCTGGTCTGCTTTGAGAGTGAAGGGCCAGGAGACACCCCCTGAGAAGGAGCCTCTACCACCTTTCCTGTCTGGGGAGGCTGCGCCCCACCACCCACCCAGGGAGGAGGTAGTGCTGCTTTTTGTGCATTTGCTTTCAAACTCACATCCGGGTTAGAGTTGGTCAGGATGGAGCAGAGTACGGCTGTTTGTGGTGAGGTCTGTTCGTGTAAAAAGAAAGAGCCCATCCAAGTGGTTAAAGAGAAAGGAAAGAAAACTTGATTATGAAAAAGTTCCAAAACATCCAAAAAGTAGAAGTAGGGACAGTGAATCCCTCATGCCCACCCGTCAGCAGCATCCCTGTTCATGAGTTCCCGAACAGTCTGTTTGAGCTATTTCCATCCTCATTTCTCCCTTGTGCTGTGATATTTCCGTGTGTATTATACTTACTAAGTAAGAATTCTTGAAAAAGGTCACTGCCGCACCATTACTGCAGCCAGCCTCTCTGGTCTAATGACTGCATTTTACAGCTCGTTTGTCAGAATCAGGATCCAAACAAGGCCACACATTGCGTTTGGTTAATAAGTTGGGCCTCTCTTTTCCCCCCAACATTTTATTATGAAACTTTTTCAAGCATATACCAAAGTTGAAAGAATTTCGCAGCTCACCTCCCTGACTCTGATGTTCTTTTCCTGCTCTTGCCATGTCACTCTGTCACCTGCCCCTCTCTCTGTCCACCTTGAAGTCTTTCCTAATCTGTGTTCACTGCCCTCCAACCTTTGCTTTTTAACTGAATAATTTTTTTAATAATCTGGGTTCTTTTTTTTCAGATTTTTAAAATTTATTTATTTTTAGAGAGGGAAGGGAGGGAGAAAGAGAGAGAGAGAGAAACATCAATGTGTGGTTGCTGGGGGTCATGGCCTGCAACCCAGGCATGTGCCCTGACTGGGAATCAAACCTGTGACACTTTGGTTCACAGCCTGCGCTCAATCCACTGAGCTACGCCAGCCAGGGCTGATCAATTTTTTTTTGAACTGGAGATTGTTCTGGGTGTTTCTTCAGGTGAGTTGGAGGGGATGTTTGAGGCAGGTGGCCTCTCACTAGTTTCGGCCTCTCCCTCGTCTGTGGATGGGTGGAAAGTCCCAGCCCTCTGCCGTCCTGTGAGGTGAGCAGCTGGGGAGACCGCTGTGACCCCATGTGACCCAGTGAGGAAGGGCCTGGTCTGAACTCCAGGCTTGCTGGCTGGACCCAGGTTTCCAAACAGCCAATTGGCAGGTTGTGGAGAGGGGAACACCTTTCTGCAAATGGGGGTGCAGGGAGGAGGAGGCAGGCGTCCTTGAAGTGCCTCTCTCTGACCTGGCACCCTGACAGAAGCCTGGACAGGGGTGGGCGCAGAGAGGAAGCCAGCTGACAGAGGCCTTCAAAACAAGATGGGTGGGCAGAGTGGGTGGCCACTAAGGGGTGGCCTCATTTGGGTCTCTGTCAAGGGTAGGGGGCTGGGCTGGGCACCCAGAGTCTGTGTTGCTTGGTCAGGAAGGCCTTCCTCATGCCCCTGGTGGGGGTGGGGAGAGCAGAAACTGGAACAGTTTACCCACACTGGGTAGGGGATAGATTTTGGACAACATGATGATAAAAAGCAATTTGTTTACCTTTAAAGAAGGACAGGAAAGCCTCTATTCACCTGCATTCTTATTTAACAACTGAAAAATCTAGAACTTTTCATTCCAAAATATCCCTCGGTCCCATAGACTGGCCAGTTGAGAACAGTGGATGCAAAGAACGGGGGAAAGGAGGAGAAAGAATGGCACAGGGAGAAGGAGAATTGAGCACGGAAGAAAAGAAAGTAGATTCCCAACACCTACTGAGTGTCTGCTAACCCTAACAGAGAGATCGAGTGGGGGGTGAAGAGGAGGGAGAAAAGCTCTGGTGAAGGACCTGAAGTGTTTACAATAGTCTGAAGCTCCTAGGTATAAAACAGTGAGAGCAATTCTCATTCCTGCCCTTGGAATTACTGTTCACTTTTAATCCACTGTTTACAGCGCTTACACTGTTCTTCATTTGTCAAGTACCAGAGACTCTGCTCTGCGGGGCATGAAGGGAGACAGACTGTGCTTTGGCTGTCTCATATTCTTGTCACAGGCTATGGCCCATCGAGTATCTCCATTATCATCCATAAAGTGGGAATAATATCTACCTTTGTGCTGATTAAATGATACTGTATAGTAAAGTACCTGGTACTCGGTAGGCCCCCTTTCTCTTTTTTCTCCGCTTTCGCATTAAAAGGCCCTCTCTCAGTTTAGAGCAGTGCTTCTCAACTGACCTGTGAAGGATCTGTTTTATTTTTTTACATTCCCAATCTGATGTGCTCCAGTCCTTTTGTGAGATACACAAACTTCTACCCTTCCAATTTTTCACTATTCAAGTCAACAGATTTAAAATCATTCTGCCACATTATTACCAACCTTTGTGAATGTGCACTCTAAGTTTCTGCACTTCCCTCCAGCGACTGGGTCACAGACAGACCCCCACAGACCGACCTGTTCCCACCCCGGACCACACTTGGAGCCGCAGGTGTTCAAAGGACACTCCCATCATTTTGAGGAGTGGCGCTGCCCTGGGGAGTATTTCCAGATTGAGGGCTGCCTGGAAGGAAGCTGGCTTCTCTAGGCTGGGAAGGAATGGAGCCAATGAACCGTAGGGAGCTCTGGGCGGGGTGGTTGGCTGGCAGAGGCAGGGCCAGGTGGCAGGAAGGCTCTGCTGCTGTGAACTGGGTGGGGAGCTTGCTGTCCCCAGCTGCTGGTGCACTTGAAGGAGGAGGGCGGAGACCAACCCCAGGGCTTGGGAAGGCGTGGTTCCCTCCTGAGGAGCAGGTTCCAAACCCCACCCCTGGTTTTTATAGAGGCAAAACAGGTGAGGGAGAGCGGTTTGCCTAGAGGCCCACCTCTCAGGACTGCTGCTCAGACACCCGCTGCTCAGCATCCCACCCCGGCTTCTAGCTGAGATGAGTGCCTTTCATTCCGGAGTTGGTTTCAACTTTTCTCTGTGAAGAGGTAATATGTCCACAGGGGTCAGCTTTCCAAAGGCACCCACTGAAAGTGAAAAGTCTTCCCCTGTTTCCGCCCCCTTTCCCAGTAAACCAGTGAGTTTCTCAGATGTTTGTGCATCTTTTTCACACACAGAGTCTGGCAGAAGTAACACCATTGAGTGTGGTTGGGAGGGTACGTGAACGTCTCACATGAGACAGGCAGCAATTTGAACGTTTCACCTAAAATGTCCTATGGTGTGCTTGAGAGTGATATTGTTATGTTACAGAATCACGTGCTGATGATTTTGTAATAAAATATTTTTATATAATAAGAAAGGGGCGTTATTTGTGCTGGACCCTGTATTTTTATGGATGCCTAAATACCAATGGCCCATTATGTCCACTGTGTGGACTCTTCTTATCAATTTATTTTGGAGTTCATGCCATAATAGCACATACTGAGCTTCCTCATCCCTTTTTATGGCAGCGTGGGGTCCCTTTTTATGGGTGTGCCATGCTTTGTTTAATCAGCTTCCTGTTGATGGATGTACAGGTTGTCTCTAATTTTCTGCTATTACAAATAATGCTGCAGGAGTGACCTTATATGTAGGTTGCTCTACACGTCTGCAAGGACACACGTAGGAGCAGAATTGCCGGGTCAATGGGAATGCAATGGGAATGCAAAAAAATGATTTTGATATGTGTTGCTAAATTGTCCTTTGTAGAGGTCCTACCAACTTCTCCCCTACCAGCAATGGATGATAGTTTGAACCTGGTACTTGCCTGGCCATGTCTTCCAAATGTTAGTTTTAGAAATCGTGAGGTGGCTTTGGTGTCCTCAGAGCAAATATTTGCTCTGACTGTCTTCTGGGTTCTGGGCCTTTGAGATGCTCTCTGCACAGAATCTCCCCTGTGGATGGAGTGTCTTCTTCAGAGATATGGAATCTGGGACCAGCGGCTTTGAGTTGTGAGCAAACTGCGGTGGTCCTGAAAGTGAGGAGTCAGTGGCATCCCCAGGCAGGCCTGAGGATGCCTTCCGGGCAGCAGAAAGAGCCCTCTGAGGAGACAGGACTAAGCACACATTCCAGGAGACATTTGGATTTGCACGTGGCTCCCTGAGCCTCCTGGCTTCCTCCTGCAGTAGTGGAGAGGCTCCCATTCACTTGGCAGCTGTTTCCTGGGCTCCTATACTGAGTGGTGGGCTTGGGCCTTGCCCTGGTTGAAGGGGGAAGGTCAATGACCCAGTCACATCAACCACAGCCACCCGAGGCCATCATGAAAGCATGCTTGACCTCTGGGGCCTGCACACTGAACACCCGAATCCCATTTCCACCCAAGTTGCTGTGGGTGGAGCAGGAATACGATGGTCACAAGACTGGAGTTTTCATTGTGGTAGGGGAGGCAGCAAATTAAACCAAGCAGTATAAATTCACCTGCTGGGCGGTGAGGTCTGCAGCTAAGCTAACATAAAGGGGAGAACTCCAGAAAGTGCCAGTATTAAAGCTCTTCAAGGAATTGCCTTGCTGCACAAGTAAATCTGCTTCCCACCTTCGCTCTGCACTTCGTTGCTAGGTTCTCCCCTGGTCACGTTAAATAAAATACTTCCAGAGTGGAGAAGGCCCAATATGGTTACATGGAAATTGGGATCATGTGCAAATGGGTTATTAAACTGCTTCACATTTTCTTCTTCTTTGGCCATTTGGAGAAATTCCTTCTTGGTTTAAGAACTTGTTACCCACAATGGGGCATGGGTGTGACTCTGTCCCTCATTTTAAATTCTGGAATTCTGGGAATTTGTCCCAAGTCCTAGGAACTCTGCCTCCCTAACCACGAAACTACAGAACCCAAAGGGGTGGTTTATGCTGGTACAGTGGTAGAATGCCTGTTTTTTTTTCTTTAAGGCTGTTTAAGTTTATGGAACTAGTGTCTTTATTGATTTTCTCAAACCTGGGCCCCTAAACCCAACTGCGTGCTGGGGGGAGCAGAGGTTGGGTCAGTACAGGGACAGGTACCAGTTTCCACATTTGCCAAGTTCAAGGGATCACTGCCCCATTTTTCAGATGACTTTGGAAAACTGCTCCTGGCGGAGGCCCTCCTGGAGCAGTATTTGAAGGAGAATAATGCCAAGATAAAAGACTCCATCCCTTTGCTGGAAAAGAATGAGCCAAAGATGAATGAAGCCAGAAACTATCTGAGCGGAGTCCTCAACCGTGGGAGGCTGTCGGTAAGTTGTCAGCCCCTCCAGGCCTGCGGTCCCCTTTCTTCTCCTGCCTGCTGTCTGCTGTCAGTGTCCCTGGGTCATCCGGTCACCTGAACAGCAAGCGTCTCTTAGGGCTGGCCTGGTGCTGTTCAGGACAGTAGCCACTAGCCACATGTGCGCTTGAAATCTGGCTACTCCACATTGAGATGTGCTATAAGTACAAAACATACACTGGATTTTGAAGACTTAGTACAAAACAAAGAATGTAAAAGATCATTAATTCTTTACATTGGTTACATGTTCAGATGATAATATTTTTGATAATTGGGTTAAAGTGTTATTACAAACTAATTTTACCTATTTGTACCTTTTTTAATGTGACTAGAACATATTCTAAGAAAATTTAGACTACACATGTGGCTTAAGTTATATTTCCATTAGACAGTGCTTGGTTGACCTGGTGTGTGCCTGGTCCTGTGTGCTCCTTGGGGATCTCAGGGGAAGAAAACCTTAGTGAGTCCAAGGTCTAGTTGGAAACAGGCAAACATGCAGAGACGGCCAGTGACAGAAGAGCTTAGTAACAGGGCAAGCCAGTTTAAATCCAAGTGCGTTTATTGAGCACCTACTATACTGTATGCCAGGGGCTGAGGGGAGGTATAGAGGGAAGTACAATCACAGCTTTCTCTAGACATTCACTGCTCAAAGCACTGTCCGCCCACCTAGAGATTGGGCATGATCTGGAGGCTGGTTAGGAATGCAAAATCTGATTTAGAATCTGTATTTAACAAACTCTATAGTACATTATACTTTGAGATGAACAGATTACAGTGCATGCTGAGCTATAGTAGAGGTATTGGTATGCCATTAGAGACCCAAAGAAGATGCAATTTTTCAAGAGATGTTCTAAAGTCATATATTTATTGACCTGAACATTTGATTGCAAACAGCTGAGTGCAAGGCATTGTGTTACATACTTCGAGGGCCATAAAGACAAGTACAGATGGACCCTGTCCTCTGGGAGGTTGCAGGTCTCCTGGAAGATAATCCTATCAGCACATCGTCCAGTGTGGCCTGTGACGTGTGACATATGCCACAGGCATAGTGTCCATGCAGAGGCAAGTCAGAGGGGAACACTCCTTAGGGTGAGGCAGGAGTCGCCTGGGAGATGGTAATACTAGAGTTAGACCCTTGAGGGAGAGCTGGACCTTGAAGGGCAAGGGCGACAGACACACAGAGGTAGGGCAGGGCATTCCAAGCTCAGGGAGCTGTGTGTAATCTAAGAGTTCCTCTTCCAAGAATTTCACTAAAATATGTCCGCTAGCAAGAGTGAAAGGGAAATGGTGGGTGATTAGGGAGTAGAAGTGCACTGAGGCCAGAGAACGGGGACTGGAACACCAACCACTCTGAGGAACGTCTGGCTTTTTCTGTAAGCCATGCAGGGAGGGTATACTGGAAGGTTAAGGTTACTGCCTTTAGACTCCTCGACAAGAATTATTGTAGCTCTGGGAGACTTTGTATCAGATTAAAATAGCCGCTTGACCCTGAGCATGTCCCTTGACCTTTTGGGCCCTCCAGCTCCTCATCTGCCAATCAAAGGGGTTGGACTTGATCAGTGGGTCCCAAGGTTTTCCCACTAAGACCCCTTTTAATTTTTTTTTCCAGTAGACTCCATGGAATATTTTTAAATTGTTTTAAAAATAAAGATGACTCTGGCTTATTGTAAAAAGTTCACTACACAAACAAGTAGTTTGAATAATAAATCAAAGTCCTTATATGCCAGCCTGGCTCCCACACTCATCCCCACCCCCAGCGTGGAACACGGGTCCCCACTGGGTGTGTGACCCACACTCCTTCCTCTGTTTGTAACAAACACACATGCACACATATAAAGCTTTCTCTTCTTATTAGAATCACAGGATACATATTTGGCAGGCTGTGCTTTTGCACGAGAACTTTCACCTGGAGGTTTCTTCATGCCAACGCCTCGTTCTTTGTATTGGCCAGACAGTATACACATGTATTGTTGTAAAAATTGTTTGTCCATCACATCACATTTATTGAATACAAATTTGACCATGCTTTATTCATCAAAGACATACATAGGCACTGATAATATTGAGAAAGTTCCTGTTTTCCAGGCCAAAGCCAAAAAAAACTTAATGCTGAACAGGCAAAATAAAACATTAAAAGTAGTGTATGGGATTCTCCACCTTACCCCAAAGGCCAGGGTGTGGCTGGGGGAGGGGATGACCTTTCCTGGCAGCAGATGAAACCCCAGGAGGAGTCCCATCTGTCCCAAGTATCCGATGGGATCAACAGGACAGTATCCAGGATATCCGATGAGTATCCACGTGGAGAACGGAGAAGTCGGCCCTGAGGCTCCCCCTCAGGGTAGCTTGAGACCCACCCTCCATGACCTCTAAGATCCTGCCTAGCTCAGCTCTGTGGACTTCCGTGAAAACGAACCATTCGTCATAACATGTCATCCACTGAGCCCAGGCATCGCGCCGTCTCCTGGTTGCCTCGTAGTGACCCTCTCGGTGGTGCTTCCTCGTATCCCCATTGACCGGGACCCAGGACAGGCTGGTCCCTCAGCCGAGGGCCGGAGTCGAGGGTCCAGGACCTGAGTGCAGGCCTGTTTGTGTCCACACCCCGAGTTCTCGAGCTCTTGGCTACTTTTCGGGGCTGTGTCCCTAAGTCCTGCCATGGAGATAGAACAGTGACAGGGGGACTCGGATTGATGTAGTGACGATAGTGACGCTCCTGCCCTCACTGGTCCCACTGTGCCTCTGTGAAGTATTTCCTCATCTGTTTTCCCCCAACCTGGCCACTCACAAGTGGTCGTCCTTCCCTTTTGATTGACAGAGACACCGAGACACAAAGGCTAGGCGACACGCCCGCTCCCCAGCAGAGGGACTGTTGCCCAGACCCAGCGACTTCCTGCACGGCATCCTTGCCCTGTGCCAGGGCCCTGTGGTTCCCTGACCACCACTGGATTGACAGGCCAAGAACGTTTCAGATTCAAAGGCACGGGTCCCACAGCATGTAGCCAACTTTCAGTTCTGCCAAATATGGGCATTAAAAAAATAACAGCAGCACTGTACCATTTTCTATCAGCATCACTCCCTAAAAGAGAAAACAACACCAAAAAAAAAAAAAAATAGACAAACGTGCTTTCAGAAGTGATGGCAGCTTTTTAAGTGGCACAGATTCAGCTTTATGGGACATGCCCCACAGGGCCCTTCATTTCTCCCAGCGAGGCAGAAGCTCTGTTGTGAGCTGTGGTTGGTTCTCCGGGAACCACAGAGCTCCACCCTGTCATCACCTTGCGCCCCGAAACTTGTCGCTCTGAGCTCAGCTGCCCTTTTCCCTGTTTATGGTAGAACCGGATGATAATAATTACTCATGCCCTGTATTTATCATGCTTCTTTCTAAAGAAAAGTTCAAAGCTCTTTTCTGGACTTTGCCCTATTCATGCTCTTGGCATTGCTGCAAGGGAAGGGGAGGGGAGGGTGGGTGTTCGGGTGTCGCCCTCACAGTGGGGAAACGAGGCCGAGCAGGGAGGGAATGTGCCTGCTGCTTGAGACCAAGTGCAGAGAATAGCAGAGGTGTTGCCCGACTTGGAGGGACCGTGGGCGGCTTGCCCTGGGGGTGTGTGACCTGTGGCCCTGGCCCAGGGAGTGGGTGGCCTACTGGGGAGACTAGCACATGCCCTTGAACAATTCAGCCTCTTAGAGTTGATCAATAGTCAGCAGGTCAGGCTTGCAGGAGCCAAACAGGTCTGTTTGGTAGAGGCATTGTAGGAATTTAGCAGAGGGGCGCTCCCTGGTAGTCAGGGACACTTCCAGGAGGAGGTGTGCCTGAGCAAAGTCCCAAAGGATGGAAAAGAATCTGTATAGCTTGAGGGAAAGGGGAGACTGTTCCAGATAGGGGGCCTGTGTGAGCATAGGCAAAGGTAGAATATGTATTCACAAAAACCAAAAAGACCGTGAGGAAGGAGAATTTGGCTGTGCCACACTCCATTTCTCTTAGTTGGCTTCTGAGAGGGCAAGAGATCATGGGGAGTGTAGAGGCTTCCCCTGGGGTCTGTCTGTCACCAGGGTCTGATCTCCCCCCACGGAGTCAGAGGAAGCACCTCCCCTCGTGACAGAGGATGGCGTGGGGACCAGCATGACACCTCCAGGGAGCTTTGTGGACAGCACCGATGCTGTGTGGTGGGGACGGTGCCCAGAGCCTGGCCGAAGGGGAGGTGGGCCTGCGGAGCATAGAGGCGAAGACGGCAGGCTAGAGCAAGCAGCCTCAAAAGGTGGTGATCTTGTCCAAGGCCACGTAACTCTCGGGCAGGGCCAACCAGACGTCCTCGGGGCCCAAGCATCCCGGTGTGGGGTAAAGATCTGGGCACAAGGGACACCTGAAAAAGTAGGGCAAAGAGAACAGGTTTGAATTTAGGCGCTTGATTGGGCACTTTGCTTACCTGCTTCTGACAGAATGGGACTGTGGCCCAGCAGGCCTTCCCTCTCCTCCTCTCTCCTGGCCCGCACTGCCGACGTGGCCGCTCTCCCCCTGGAGGTCCTGCTTTTGTGTGGGGGCTTCAGCGTGGGCTCTTTCCAAGGTTTTCACCCGTTGTGTATTTGTGTGTGTGTACCCCCCAAATGATATCCGGTCCCATAGAACTTGGCCTGATATCGTTTGGGGGTGGGTGTACGTATATATATGAACAAGTGCCTGAACTCCTGAGTGCCAGCCTTGGGCTGAAGCCACTGGGGGCTGCAGGAGAGAAGACGGGGCCCAGTCTGCAAGCTGCCTGCAGCGTAGCTGGGTGCATAAGACACGCACGTGAAAGGGCTGGGGACTCATGAGAATTTCAGTAAGTAGGCCACAGACTGCAGGTGTGGAGAAAAGGCAGTCCTCAGCATGTGCTCAAGGGTCGGGGAAGGCTTTCTGGAGGAGGAGGTTTTTGAGCAGGGTCTTAGGCGAATTGTCATGGCACAGTGAGAGGGTGCCAGTGCTACCTGTTGGGGGTGGCAGCAGGGACCTCGGGCAGGAGCCTGCTGATGTGGCCCTTGTCCTTCCAGCCACGGTACCTATGTGAGGCCATGCTGATCCTGGGCAAGCTGCATTACGTGGAGGGCTCCTACCGAGAGGCCATCAGCATGTATGCTCGGGCCGGAATCGATGACATGTCCGTGGACACCAAGCCCCTGTATCAGATGCGGCTGCTGGCGGAGGCCTTTGTTGTCAAAGGTAGGTGTGGGTGCCGGCTGGGGTTCCCCAGCCCCACGCCCAGCACATTACACCCAGGCCCCCCTGGGCCGGGAGCAGACAGCAGCTGTAGGGCAGCAGCAGATGCTCAGGTGAGGGTGAGCCTGCTATGCCGATGTCCAAGATACATCACCCCTGGTAGTACCCAGGCACTGACCAGCCAGGTGGACACCAGTGGTGACCGGGCATCCCGGCTGCTGACGGGCACCAGGCTGGATGCCAGAGGACTCAGGTTCTCACCCTGGCTCTATCGATAACTAGCTGCCCACTATATGCCTTTGGGCGAATTACCTCTTCACCTTGTGTAGTTGCAGCTGACGTATTTGGAAGACGGGGTTGTGATACCTGCCCTCACTGGGTTACCATGACCAAGAGGAATCAGTTGTGTAACCAGGTTGAGAAAGGCTTGAACAATGTGCCATCCCTTGTCAGGCTGGTGCTGGTGGCTGACACTGGCTACACATCGGGGGCCTGATGGTATAGAGCGGTCTGTCACTTCCTAGGCTGGTCGGGTACCCGCTGTGAGCAGCCCAGGGACGTGGTACCAGGATCCAGTGACGGGCAGGGCAGAACCAGTTCCCGGGCGACAGGTGCGGGGGTGGAGACCCAGGCACACAGGGTCAGTGATATAGGGATTTCCTGGTATAGGAGGCTGCGGGTGGCCCGACTGGGGTAACAGTGGCATTGAGCTGGCCCCTGAAGGTGTTTTGCATTAGTAAAAGCCCTACGTCCACTTCTTGCTTCAGGCTCCTCCTCCTTGGATTCAAATTCCTGGGACACAGAGCCCGAGGCGTGGCCTCTGACGGCAGTGAGGTTCCGAGAGCCCTTCTGCCCAGGAATCATGAATGTTTGATCATCTCCCTATTTCAGCACAAACCAACCCCCATAGAAAAATTTAGAAGTGTGTGTAGACCTGTGGGGATTTGGTGTCTGGCATTGGCAGAGCATTTGTCATCCTCTTTCCATCACAGAGAGGGACGTTCTCCCCATCTCATATGTGGGGAAACTGAGGCTCAGAGAGGATATATACCTTATTCAAAGTTACCGAAAGATGCGAGCTGGAGCCAGGATAGGAGCCTCCACTCTGTGACGCTGGCCTTGGAATATGAGTCCCCAACTCCATTCCTCTGTCTCCCTTGGACACCTGTGCAGGGCACAGCCTCCTTGTCCCTGCTTGTCCACTGCTGGGGCCCTGGGGCCCTTTCCCCAGGGAGAGACTGTTCTCCCTATCCCAGGAAATCCACCGAGCATGTCACCCTGGACAGACCCAGCACCAGCCTGCGGAGGGGCAGGTGCCCATCTGGGGCAGTCCGGCCTGTGGGCTCTTCTCCCTTTGCGCTCTCATCCTCTCCTCTGGGCTCCTGGCACAGGCCCATCTTGGGGGTGGGCTTCATGTGGTGTTTGGCTCTTTCAGGCCTCTTGGAAACCACTTCTGCCTCAGACTTCCTGAACCTAACACCTTTCCTTGGGGGTCCTTTCCAGCACTTCTCTTCCTGTAGAACTGGCTCGGTGCCTACTGCTCCCTGTCTCCTGCTCTCTACTCTTTCCAGCACTCCTCCAGCTTCTTGGTGGTCAGAGGTGCTGCCGGGGAGGTAAGGAGCCGGGCGTGGGCTGCTCGGTCTTGCGCTGCGCCAGGTCCCCGCCCCTCACTGACTGCACGTGACCTCCCACTTGCCTGCTTCCTCTCTGCCTGTCCTCCCTTTCCTGTTACAGTGACTGTGCCCTGCTGCTTGGCATGCTGAGGTTCCCCTAACCCTGCGTGTGCTTGAGACCATGCATGCTGCCTCCAGATATGCATGATGTTTATTTCCCTAGGTTTGGGGGGACCCAGTGGGTCTCCCCACACAGAGACTAGGGGACGGGTATGGCTGGTCGTTGGTCCTGACTCCATTTATGAGCAGGAGGGTTGTATTAGTCAGTTTTATTTTTCTCAGTTCTTCAGGCTGGGAAGTTCAAGATCAAGATACCAGTAGGGGCAGTGTATGTGAGGGCCGTCTCCTTCCTTGGGTTGCAAGGCCCTGGCTGCCTTCTCACTGTGTCCTCACATGGCCTTGCCTGGATGTGTGGGCATGGGGAGATCCCTCTCTCTCTTCCTCTTCTTATAAAGCCACTAATTCCATCACAAGGCCCCTCCCTGGTGACCTCATCTAACCCTAATCGCCTCCCAGAGGCACCATCTCCAAATACCGATTCACTGGGGGGTTAGGGCTATAATGTATGAATGGGGGGGGCCACAAACATTCAGTGCAGAGAAAGGATAGTGGCAGCAGGAGCCCACAGAGTTCACAGGGCAATAATACTTCCTCAGCCCTCACTCCGTGCAGGTGTGCCCTCATTACATCCACACGGAACCCCCTGAGTGGGTGTTCTCTTCATTCCTACCTTACGGGCAAGGAGCTATGGTCAAAGAGGTAGAGGGGCTCGTGTGGATTTCACGAGACGTGGCAGGGTCAGGACTTGTACCCGGGCAGCCAGAGCTCCCAAACAGCCGTGGTCAGAATTTTAGACTGAGAGGAATCACAGAAATGATCTAGGTCAGTGCCTCGCATTGTAGATGAGGAAACCGAGGCTGACAAAAGTGAAGCGACTTACCCAGGATGTCAGGTAGCTGGCGTTTGCCCTGGAATGCTCCACCCTAGGCAGCTTCTCCGTTGCAGACTCTGCCAGGCCCCAGGTGCCTGCCTCGCCTGCTCACGAGCACTCCGCCCGGCCAGGCCCTTACACCACAGCTTATTTGCCACTCTGCATGGGATTCTGCTCTGTGGTTCCATCTGGTTCCGTGCAGTGGGCAAGGAGTTCTCAGGCACAGCTGGCTGGAAGACCAGGTGTGTGACCTGGGGGAGCTGAGCAGCCAGGCCTGGAGACTCGGTGGGGGCACCGAGCGGGCATCTCTGTTGTGAAGTTCCTGCTCTTGTTGAGGGGTAGGGAACAGGCTCTGCTGTTCTTCCCCTTAACCCTCCCCCACCCCCTGAAACATAAAAACTCTCAACTCGCCTGCTTTCCCCTTTAGTGCAGAGGGCTTGGCAGGGTGGCCCTCTGAGACCTCACTCACGGACTTAGCTTTCTTCTGGTGTGGGAGGGGCGGGGGCGGGCGTGGGGGGGGGCATGGATTGGACCAGAAGGTGTCTCCTGACTCTCCGGGAGGGTATTAGACACTGACATGGAGACAGGGAGAAGGGGCAGCGGTAGCAGCCTTGAGTTTCTCTTGCCTGAAACGCAGAGCCACTACATGCATGTTTGTACACACTGGATGGAGGGGTCCCTGACCTCCCTTCTGTCCGGGGAAGAGTGTTACTGTCCATGCCATACTTGTTCAGAAACAATGTCAAAACCACAGAGTTTTCACTAAGATAGAAAAATGAAATGGCTTCATGGGAAGACCTGTCATTCCCTGTTCGAGCGATTTGTGCCCAGCCCCCAGCACTCCCTGTCCCCGGCATTATAGTCACACCTGTGCTCAGACCTGGTCCTGCCAGGAGTAGAGAACTGGATTTTAGGGCCTCCAAGTGGCACCCAGCAGGTGGGCAGGGCCCCATCAGAGCCTCTGGCTTTGGAGGAAGAACTGCCTCTTCCCAGGTCCTGCTTCAGCAGGTTCACTCGTCTGCCACTCTGTAATGGGCCTGCCCCGTGGCCAGCTGCTCCCAAGTCACCTGTCTGCCCTGGGCAGAGCCAAGGGCCCTCTCTGTGCGGTCAGAATCCCCTGTTCAGTCCTTCATTCCCCGAGTGTCCTTTTCCCGAGTCCCTCTGGTGTACCTGACTTCAGTGGTGGGCCCAGAAGTGGGCTGTGGACCCTTCCTTCTGGAACCTGAGGGTCCTTTGGGGGAGAGGGACAGCACTATGGCATGGGCACCCCCCAGGAGTTTGATGGAAATGCAGACTCTCAGGCCCCGCCCCCAGACGTTTTGGATCAAAACCTGCATATCACCTTCATTTCCCAGTGATGTGAATGCGCTTTCCAGTTTGAGAAACATTGCCCTGGAACTCTTGTTTAATAAATATTTGTTGACTGGCGAATTCACCTTCAGCTTATCCCTGTAAGATGGGAGTAGTTGTTCCGCCTACTCTACGGATGAAGACACTGAGGCACGTCCGGTCGTGCTGCCCGTGTGTAGCAGACCTTGGACTGGCGGCCAGGTGGTTGTCTCCCCAGCTTGTGTCCTGTCTGTGACAGAGGAGCCCACCAGAGGGTGATGAGGAGCAGTTATAGGTACCTCCGAGATGGGTTCGTGCAGGCAAGGAAGATGCAGCAGGTGCAGGAATGCAGAGAAAGAGAGGTTCCTGGTGCTTAGTGCAGAGCCTGGGGGCGGGCCAGGCAGGGCAGTGCATTTGGGCACCATGGCTCTGTCCCTGAGGGTAACCGAGAAGGGGCCCTCACTGGACCCTGTGGAAAAAGGGAACTCGAGCATCTCCCCGCCTCCTCCGGCCCCCACTCTCCCATGGGTCTGCTTAGTGCAGAAGCTGCCCAAGGCTCTGGTGTCCGTGGGCAAGTTGTCTAGAAAATTTGCTTTTATATGCCAGCATCAGTCACCTTGGTTCAGAATGGGGAGCCTGCCCCCTCCTACCCTATTCCCCTGGCCCTGCAGGAGCCCCACTGTGACTTCGGCCAGCCCCCGGCCCCGGGCCAGCCATATCAGCCCAGGGGACGGCCCTGGGGAATAGGGCTCCTCACCCATTCCAGGTGCAGAAGATAGAGGGGGCATCCCACCACCATTCTGGTTTGTTGCAGGGAAACACTTCCATTTACTTTGTATTAAAAGAAACTACCTAGCCCTGACTGGTATGGCTCAGTGGGTTGGGCATTGTTCCACAAACTGAAAGGTCTCTGGTTTAATTCTCGGTCAGGGCACATGCCTGGGTTGCAGGCCAGGTCCCTTGTTGGGGAGTGTGTGAGAGGCAACCGATCGATGTTTCTCTCATTCATTGATGCTTCTCTCCCTCTCTTTCTCCCTCCCTTCCCCTCTCTCTAAAAATAAATAAATAAA